AAAAAAAAAAAAAAAAATAGGTAGAAAGATGAAGCAGCGTATACACTAAGGGCCCATTTATATAGCCTCGGTTAACCAAGACAAGTCTTCCCCCAAGTTACCCTAGCCGTTTTCAAAAGGATCGCGAACCCGTCTCGGGGAGCGAGACAACTCGGTTGAGCGAGTTGTTTCGCCTCGGCAGGTAGGGTAACCCTGGCAGGCGGGACAACTTTTCTTCATGTAAACACTTTGGCTCGCCTAACTGAGACACATCTCGGCGTGACGAGAGTCACGAAATGTCTAGATTTACGATTTAAAGCAGAAACTCGTATCAAAGAAGTGATAGTGATGGAAGAGGGATATTTGCACATTTGATTATTCGTTTATGGTTATAAATAATCATTTGGGTCAACTTTGACACGGACTACAGAGACAGCGTTTTCACATATAAACGCTCGATAAAGTTGCCTCAGGGGAGGATTGTCTCGGGTACCCAAGACTTCATAACTGGGGCCTAAGTTGGAGAAATTTGAAAACGCAGCTTTATTTCTACGACGAGACCTACCTCCGACACTAATCCGTGACAAAAACGGAGCTTTTCGAAAACGCTCTTCAAACCGGAGAAATTTGAAAAAGCCGGCTTTTCGTTTTCGTGTGGACGGAAAACATTTTGAAAACGCTTTACGAAAACTGTGGCGTCACGATAATCATGTAATTTACAAGACAAATCCAAAACGACCAATAATTGTTGCGTTTTTTTTAATTCCTCCGGCGTATAGTGTGGACAGAAAACATTTGATGCGTTTTCATAGTGAAACCTCCGTTTTGAAATTCCTCCACCATAGTGTGGACGGAGCCTGAGGAAGAAAATCGTATCAATCTATACTCAGACATCCAAACACCGTCTCCCATTCAGAATCATACGAAAACCTTCTGGTTCGTGCAGAGCTACCTTCACTTCTAAATCGAAGACTACAAGATATCGCTACATTAATGTGGTACAAAGTAAAATATAGCCTCGCACCAAGTATTGTTGACGAACTGTTTAAGCAGAAAAGCGCTAGTTACTCATTAAGAAAAAGTGATTTTGATATTCCTACTTTTAACACTATTAACTATGGAAAACACTCTGTTAGATATCAAGGACCTCATATATGGTAGAAACTAGATAATAAAATGAAAGCCTCCTCGAATATTGAATCTTTCAAAAAGAACATTAGGAAAAAAGACCTAACGTCAATCTTAAACAACAACAATAGCTGCTGTAACCTTTACAATTCTTAGATACTACCTCTTATATACCCATTGTTTTATTGTACAATTTATACATGCTACATATTTTAATTGTATATACATTTTTATTATTATTCCTTATTTGTAAATATTTTTAATTCTTTTTTTTGTTGTCTCCAATTAGTTGTGAAAACTAACTACATTGACACAGTAATAAAGCTTTTGCTTACTTTACTTCCTTACTTATGGTCACGATTTCCTTCGTTTAAACTTGATGAATTATTAATGAGTTTGAGAAGATGTAAATTTAAGAAGCGCAGATCATTCAGCTGTAGGCGAATCTTGCCCAATAACTCATTGTGGGTCAAGCTGAATAATATCCCATTGGTAAACCTAATAGCTGTTTTCAGTGGACAAGTAATTCATCCACATTATTT